CCTGGATTTCCTGCCATGCCTGGCCTGTGCTGGGGAAGCCTCAATGTTTGTTGAGTAGATGGATGAAAGACAAGCAGAATTGTGGCCACGCACAGAGGGCCAAGGTGTCCGGGCTGCAGGAGGGAGGGGAGGCTGAGAGAATGTCAAAGGGGAAGGGGACGAGGTGGGGGTCACAGTGCTGGTGAACTGAGTATGTGGGGACCTCACGGAGCCCAGAGGCTCTTGGGTAGTGGCACATGCACCTCAGGTCCTGGTCTCAAGGGTGGAGGAGCTCAGGGGCCACGGAGATCTGATGAGGGAGGACCTTGAATGAGGCTGAGCGGGGGGAGTCCGCCAAGGATGATATGGAGTTATTGAGTCAGCCTCTGCCCGGTGGCAGCTGAGGGAAGCAGCCCTGACGTCCTGAGAGCATCGGCTGCTTCATTGCCAAAACCCGGATTCTTCAATGCGTGTCCACTATTATTTTGTTGTTATTAAATATATATATTTTATTGATTTTCCACAGAGAGGAAGGGAAAGGGATAGAGAGCTAGAAACATCGATGATGAGAGAAACATCGATCAGCTGCCTCCTGCACACCCCCTACCGGGTATGTGCCCACAACCAAGGTACATGCCCTTGACCGGAATCGAACCTGGGACCCTTCAGTCCGCGGACCGACGCTCTATCCACTGAGCCAAACCGGTTTCGGCATTGTCGTTATTTTTATTTTTTATTTTTTTTGGAAATTTTATGTATTGACTAGAGAAAGAAGAGGGGAGATAGGAAGAGAGAGGAACATGAATTTTGTTGCTACCCTTATTTTTATATATACAGATTGATTTCAGAAAGGAAGGAAAAGGGAGTGATAGAAACATCAATGTTGAGAGAGAATCATTGATTGGCTGCCTCCTGCACACCCCACATTGCAGATTGAGCCCAAATTCCAGGCATGTGCCCTGCCTGGGAATCGAACCCTGACCTCTTGGTTCATAGGTCCATGCTCAACCACGGAGCCATGCCTAAGTTCCCCTTAGTGATGCATTCATTGGTTGATTCTTGTATGTGCCCTCACCGGGGTTCGAAGCCACAACCTTGACGTATCAGGACAGCACTCTAACCACTGAACTACCGGGCCAGGGCTTGTTGTTATTATTCTTTGCTCGAATCTTGTCTGCTGTCTGAGGAGTGGGCAGACCCTACATCCGGGAGGTCATTATCATTATCAGCTGCTGGATGGGGAGGAAGGCTCACATTCCCTACCCATAGGACGGAATCAGCCAGGGAGAGAATCCCAGGCTTCCCGGGAGGCCAGCCGCTGGCACAATAACCCGGTGGGGATTCCAGCGCGAAGACACTAGAGGTGGGTGCTCTGGTTCTGGGCTCAGCAAATTGTCTGGAGCCGGACACGTTCATGATTCTCCGTGTTTTCGCTCTCTCCGGAGGTTCCGATGGAACATCATTGCTCTCTGGAGAAGAGAGAGAGGACACAGGGAGCTGGTGGGGTGGGATTGGATGGGGGGTGGCTGGGAGAACAGGGACGTCAGGAATTCCCCAGGAATCCAGGGGCCTCACGCACAGCCTGGGCGCGTCCTGGCACCTGAGCCTGCAGACGTTCTTTTTATTTTTTTTATTTTTATTTTATTTTATTTTATTTTTAAAAATATATTTTATTGATGTTTTACAGAGAGGAAGATAGAGGGATAGAGAGTTAGAAACATCGATGAGAGAGAGTCATCCATCAGCTGCCTCTTGCACACTCCCTACCTGGGGATGTGCCCGCAACCAAGGTACATGCCCTTGACCGGAATCCAACCTGGGACCCTTCAGTCTGCAGGCCAACGCTCTATCCACTGAGCCAAACCAGTTTCGGTAGCATGTGCATGCTCTTATCTGTAAAACGGGGACATCCCATAACACAGGCTGTGCTGAGGAGTCAGTGACATCTCCACAGAGAAGACTTGGGTGTGAGTGAGCTACGGCTGTGTAACAAACTGTCTCCAAACCTGGAAGCTCAGGACGGCCAAGGTTTAGGATGTCCCACGGTTTCTGAGGGACAGGAGTCCAGGAGCAGTGGGATGGCCTGGTTCGGGCTCAGGGAACTCAGGCCACCGTGTTCAGAGCTCCCTCAGGACTGTATGTTTGAGGGGTTGTCTGGGGGCTCATTCCCATGGCTGCTGGCAGGAGGCCTCGGCTCCTGGCTGCGCAGACCTCCCCATGGGATGGCTTGACGCCCTCCAGGGAGAGAGAGACAGCCACAGAAGTAGCTCTGTCGTTTCTGTGACAGCCTGCTGGTTGCACACGTCAGTCCTGCTCAGTGGGAAGACAGTTCGAGGGTGTGAAGTCCAGGGTGAAGATGATTGGGTGCTGCTAGGACACCCATAGAGCCTGAGGATGAATGTTGCTGCTTCTGCTGTTACTATTATCAGCACCGAGCCTCCCCAAGACCTTCCCATGGGGTCCTACGTAGTCTTAGTCCACGTTCCTTCTTTTTATTAGAAATATATTTTTATTAAAAAAAATTTTTTTCAGAGAGGAAGAGAGAGGGATGGAGAGTTAGAAACATCGACGAGAGAGAATCATCGATCAGCTGCCTCTTGCATGCCCCCTACTGGGGATGTGCCTGCAACCAAGGTACATGCCCTTGACCGGAATAGAACCCCGGACCTTCCAGTCCACAGGCTGACTCTCTATCCATTGAGCCAAATGGGTTTCAGCCCATGTTCCCCCTTGATTATTTCTTCTAGTCACTCTGGACACCTTGCTTCTCCTCCAAGAAAGAGAACCAATCCCAGACTCCAGGCCTCTGCGCCTGCTGCTCCCTCTGCCTGGCACAGCCTGGGCCCTGAGTCCGGCCATGGCTGGCACAGAGTCCTGCCCTTGGCAGTGCCAAGGTCACAACCTTACTGAGAGGTCTCCCCTGCTCTGAATTAGATGCCTCGCTCTCACCCACACCCCTCCATGATGATATCACCCCCGTCTAATTTTCCTCGGAGTTCCTGAGACTCTCTGAAAGTGTTTTGATTTTCGGGGGGGAGGGGGAGGAGGGGGGAATCTACTTCCTTGTTCCCTGCCCACTTCCCTGATGGGACCTGGAAGTTCACTCCCAGGAGAACAGAGAGGCTGTGTGTGTCTTGTTGCATCCCTCATGGTGAATACGCTTGCTTTCCCAATATTTATTGGGGTGCTCGCTTCGGCAGCACATACACTAAAATTGGAACGACACAGAGAAGATTAGCATGGCCCCTGCGCAAGGATGACACGCAAATTCGTGGTGTTCCACATTTTAAAAATATGTATTTATCAGGGATGCTGGGAACACAGCAGGGACGGAAATACATCTCGTCCCTGCACTCGGGTGGTTGACAGAGTTGGAGGAGACAGAATGTATGTGTGTTATACTTCATACGTGCAAAGTCCTGAGCAACAGGAGAGAAACGAGCCTCTGACAGTGTGTGTGTGTGTGTGTGTGTGTGTGTGTGTGTGTGTGTGTGAGAGAGAGAGAGAGAGAGAGAGAGAGAGAGAGAGAGAGAGAGAGATATCCAGCTGAGGGTGTGGGTGGCCTCCCTGGGAAGTTATGTTTGAGCTGGAACCAGAGGAGGATGGGTTCGATGCTGAGGGGACTTGAGCTGGGGACAGGCATTCCTGGCTCAGGGAACCGCATGCGCTGTCCCTGGGAATCTGCGAGGAAATCTTAACGAGGGCAATAAAGGCCCTCGGAAGGTTCTCATGGGTGTTTTCTTTCCTTTCTTTTGTTGTTTTTAGAGTTTATGGTTGCTTTTGTTTTCGAAAAGGTTACCTGTATAAATTGGTTAAGAAGTTATCCAGTCCTGGCCGGTGGCTCAGTGGGTTGGAGCATCGTCCTGTAGATGGAAAGGTTGCAGGTTTGATTCCTGGTCAGAGCACACACCTAAGTTGTGGGTCCGATCCTTGGTCGGGGGCATATGGAAGTCAACTGATGGATGTTTCTCTCTGAAATCAATAAAAGTATTTTTAAAAATATTTTTAGATTTCTGAGAAGAAAGGAGAGGGACAGAGAGATAGAAACACCAATGAGAAGAGAGAGGGTCATTGATCGGCAGCTTCCTGAATGTCCCCCACTGGGGATCAAGCCTGCAACCCAGGCATGTGCCCTGACTGGGAATCAAACCGTGACCCCCTGGTTCATAGGTTCATAGGTTCGTAGGTAGATGCTCAACCACTGAGCCACGCTGGCTGGGGAGAAGAAGAGCTTTTATTCGATGTTGTTAATCCTCATCTGATGATATTTTTGTCCATTGAGGGAGGAGGAGAGAGAGAGAAACATTGATGTGAGAGAGACACATCCATTGGCTGCCTCCCGCACACACCCCAACCAGGGCTGGGAAGCCAACCTTCAACCCTTAGGTGCACCGGGCCAATGCTCTAACCACCTGGCCCATTAGCCAGGACACCAGTATTTTTAAAAATTTATTTTAGAGAGAGGAAAAGAGAGAGAAAGAAACACGGATTGGTTGCCTCTTACACGTGCCCCAACTGGGGACCAGCCCCAAACCCGAGTATGTGCCCTGATTAGAAATGGAACCTCCACCTTTTGTTATATAGGATGAGCCACACCGGCCAGGGTTCATGAAACTTTGGGACCGTTAGCAGCACGTCATTTTTTAAAAAAAATATTTTTTATTGATTTTTTACAGAGAGGAAGGGAGAGGGATAGAGAATTAGAAACATCGATGAGAGAGAGACATCGATCAGCTGCCTCTTGTACACCCCCTACTGGGGATGTGCCTGCAACCAAAGTACATGCCCTTGACCAGACTCGAACCTGGGACCCTTTAGTCCACAGGCCAACGCTCTATCCACTGAGCCAAACCGGTTAGGGCAGCAGGTCATTTTTATAGAGGGGAAACCGAGGCACAGAGGCTGAGGCAGGATTTGAACCCAAGCCTTCCTGTCACCTCTATGTAGCAAAGGAGAGTTTGAGCGCTGTCCGCCCCTTCTCTTGCAGGCCCACTCCCCGGGGCCCCGTGTCTGCGGAGATCATGATGGCGTACATGAACCCGGGGCCCCACTACTCCGTCAACGCCTTGGCTCTGAGCGGCCCCGGGGTGGACCTGATGCACCAGGCCGTGTCTTACCCGAGTGAGTACAGCCCTCCGCCCCGGCACCGGGGCCAGGCCCCCTCTTTGGGGGCCTCTGGGGTCCCTCGCCCTCAGGAAGAGCATGGGCACCCACAGGGGTGACATCAGGGCCGCATGCAAATGCAAACACCGTTCCACACGGCTTGGAGGGAAGCACAGGGACACTCCTAGGATGCAGGACAGTGGGTCCTTCTGGGGAGGGGGAGCGGGGAGCGATCTGGAAGGGGGACCCAGTGGGATTCCAATCTGTTAGGGAAAGGAGTTCTCCATTCTTTGGCATTATTTGTTAGCTGGGATTTTTTAAAATATATATTTTTATTGTTTTTTTTTTTTACAGAGAGGAAGGGAGAGAGAAAGTGAGAAACATCGATGAGAGAGAAACATCGATCAGCTGCCTCCTGCACACCCCCCGCTGGGTATGTGCCTGCAACCAAGGTACATGCCCTTGACCGGAATCGAACCGGGGATCCTTCAGTCCGCAGGCCGACGCTCTATCCACTGAGCCAGACCGGTTTTGGCACTAGCTGGGCTTTTTCACCCCATTAAATTGAACATGATGGACCTTGCTAGGCTGGACATAGTTGGATACCCACACTGTTATGTTTAAGTGCCTGAGGAATTTTGGAAAGGGGACAAAAAATAAATAAATCCATACACCTCCTTGCAAGGCTAACGCCAGTTCTCAGGGTGAGACCTGGGCCCCAAGATGGCAGGCAAAAGGGGCCCCGTTCCCAGGGGCAGAGGGAGGCCTATAGGTCAGGGCAGATGAACGCCTACGCCCACGCACCCTCAGGGCCTCACACCCGCTGAAGGTGAGAAGGGGGGGGCCGGTCACCTGATTGTTGTATAGGATGATGCTCCAACCAATGAGCTCCATTGTCCCGCCCCCCTACCAGGTGCTCCCAGAAAGCAGCGGCGGGAGCGGACCACCTTCACCCGGAGCCAGCTGGAGGAGCTGGAGGCCCTGTTCGCCAAGACCCAGTACCCCGATGTGTACGCCCGCGAGGAGGTGGCCCTGAAGATCAACCTGCCCGAGTCCCGGGTTCAGGTGGGGTTTCTGTTCCCGGGGCCCCTCCCAGCCCTTCCTGGGACCCAGTGTGAGGGGAGGAAGGAGAGGTCCCAGAGTGACCACCACCGTCCTAAAGGGGACCTACAGTCCTCGCCCCGTCCCTGGCCTCGTCTCTCCCACTCCTACCCTTCTCACTCCACTCCAGCCACTGGCCCCTGGGTCCTCCCTAGCATGCCTGCAAACACACTCTTTTAAAAAAAAAAAAAATCTATATATATATATATATATATATATATATATATATAATTTATTTTTTACAGAGGAAGAGAGAGGGATAGAGAGTTGAAACATCGATGAGAGAAAATCATCCATCAGCTGCCTCTTGCACATCCCCCACCGGGGATGTGCCCGCAACCAACGTACATGCCCTTGACCAGAATCGAACCTGGGACCTTTCAGTCCTCAGGCCGATGCTCTATCCACTGAGCCAAACCAGTTTCGGCTGTAAGCACACTCTTGCCTCAGGACCTTTGCACTCTCTGTTCCCTCTCCCTGGAATGGCTCTTCCCCGTCACCTGTTCAAGACCTTCACCAGCCAATCAGGTCACCATGTCAGTCAGTGAGACCCATACCGATGGTCAGATTTAAAGTTGCAATCTTTCCTCACCCCCAACTCTATTGCTTCCGTTATGCTGCTCAATTAGTTCTTCTATAGTATGTATCGCCTTCTAAAATAGTCTGCTATTTACTGAATTATAGTTTATAATCTGTCTCTCTCAGCTTCACGGATGTAGAAGATGGTCAGTGCATGTTTATTAATTGATTGAATGGGTGTGTTTGCATGATTGCATGATTGGGTGGATATGTGTGTATGAATGTACAGTTATCATGTGTATATCTGTGTGACTGTATGTATGCATTGGATGGATGAATGTATTTATGTGCATATGAATGACCGAATGGATGAATATATGTGTGTTTGTATGAACATATCCTATATATAATAAAAGCCTAATTTGCTAAGTGTATGGTCAACTTGTTGGTCTTTCAACCAATCAAACTATAATATGCTAATGACATACTAAGGCCGTTCAACTGCTTGCTATGACGTGCACTGACCACCAACGGGGGCAGATACTCTGACCAGTAGGTTAGCTTGCTGTTGGAGTCTGGCCAATTGGGACTGAATGAAATGGGTTGGACATGCTCTGGATCTCTTCCACGGTCCCTCCCCAGCTGGCCAACCTCCTGTGTTTCTCCCTGGCCCTGATCATGCACTGGTGGAGTCCCTCGGCCTGGCCTGGCCCCTGTCGCAACCTGGGGTCCCTCGGGGGATGTTGGGAGGCCAGTTTCAGCTCAATCCCACAGTAGAAGCACCTCCAGGAGCTGGGGAACTGTTAGAGATCTGAGAAGCTTTAGGGAACCTATATGTAAACACAATCTGTGGATCCTGTTTGAATCCTGATTTTGGTAAACCAACAGTAAATTACTTGTGAGAAAGTTGGGGCAATTTGAAACTTGATCTGGCAAGCATGGTGGTGGTGGCGGGAGCCTCTCCTGCCTCTGCAGCAGCACTTAGGATGTCCGACTGAGGGCTTAGGCCCGCTTGGGAATCAGTTGGACATCCCCTGAGGACTCCCAGCCTGCAAGAGGGCGCAGGTCAGGCTGAGGGAGCCCCCCTCCCCCAGTGCATGAATTTCATGCACCGGGTCTCTAGTATATGTATAATTGTATATATGAATAGATGGATGGATAGATGGATGGGTGGATGGATGGATGGATGGATGGATGGATGGATGGATGGATGAATGGATGGATAGATGAGTGGATGGATGGATGGATGGATGGATGGATGGATGAGTGGATGGATGGTGGAGTGGCCCATATTTGACTGCAAAGTGAAGAGGTGTGACTCTGGCATGTCTCACCAATAAGCAGCATCATTCCTAAGAACTATGAGGGCTTCCCCCCACATTCACCCCTGCCCCCCTGCACTCTCCTCTTACCCCCCAGGTCTGGTTCAAGAACCGCAGGGCTAAGTGCAGACAGCAGCGGCAGCAGCAGAAGCAGCAGCAGCAGCCCCCAGGCGCGCAGGCCAAGGCCCGTCCTGCCAAGAGGAAGGCGGGCGCGTCCCCGAGGCCCTCCGCTGATGCCTGTCCAGACCCCCTGGGCATCTCAGATTCCTACAGCCCCCCTCTGCCCGGTCCCTCAGGCTCCCCCACCACAGCGGTGGCCACTGTGTCCATTTGGAGTCCAGCCTCAGAGTCCCCTTTGCCCGAAGCCCAGAGGGCCGGGCTAATGGCCTCAGGGCCTTCTCTGACCTCAGCACCCTATGCCATGACCTACGCCCCAGCCTCTGCTTTCTGCTCTTCCCCCTCAGCCTATGGGTCTCCCAGTTCCTTCTTCAGTGGCCTGGATCCCTACCTTTCTCCCATGGTGCCCCAGCTGGGGGGCCCGGCTCTCAGCCCCCTTTCTGGCCCCTCCATGGGACCCTCCCTGGCTCAGTCGCCCACCTCCCTGTCAGGCCAGAGCTACAGCGCTTACAGCCCGATGGACAGCTTGGAATTCAAGGACCCTACTGGCACCTGGAAATTTGCCTACAACCCCATGGACCCTCTGGACTACAAAGATCAGAGTGCCTGGAAGTTCCAGATCTTATAGAAGCGGCTTCTCCACCTCTCGTGTACGTCTCCTCCCCGAAGCTTAGGTACCTGGACAGCAGCTCTGAGAAAGCAGCAGGAGGCAGCCATCCTGCCGAAGGCCGTGGCCACGTGGACTTCCTGAGCAGCTTCACACACCACAGTCCACCCCTTTCCTCCCTGGGAGCGGGGCTCCTTCAGCAGGGCTCGGTAGTTTTCTCAACCCAGCACGACTCACGCCGATCCTAACTGGCATTTTCAAACACGAGCCCCAGACTCCAGAAACGGGCATGGAGAACTTGCCCCGAGATTTAAATGAAACCAAACTCGCTGTGGATTTGGGGGTAAATGTTTAGGTGGGAACCGAGATGCCCTCGATTCCCTAACTTTCCATTTTAGGCTCTTCTTTAGCACGTGGCTAGGGATCCTTCTAGAACTTCCAAAGACAGACTTTAAGAAGCCCCACCGTGGAACCTTAGGCCAACTATACAGTTAAATCAAGACCATGTATTTGGCGATTATGACCAACTCCACAAAGGACAGTTACAGGGTAGGTACAGGGGGCTGTTTGCTATGTATCTAGTATCTATTTCTTAGTTTCTTCTTAAAGATTCTTCGTCGGCCAAAACCGGTTTGGCTCAGTGGATAGAGAGTCGGCCTGCGGACTCAAGGGTCCCAGGTTCGATTCCGGTCAAGGGCTTGTACCTTGGTTGCGGGCATATCCCCAGTGGCGGGTGTGCAGGAGGCAGCTGATTGATGTTTCTCTCTCATCGATGTTTCTAACTTTCTATCCCTCTCCCTTCCTCTCTATAAAAAAAATCAATAAAATATATTAAAAATATAAAATAAAGATGCTTTGTCGTTCAGTCATTCATTCATTCGGACAACGGGAATGGGCACCTTTGGTAGGAGAATGGAAGGCAAGTTGCCTGCTCCTTGTCTATATATTTTTTCCTTTTGTTGTAGGGTTGTCTAAAGGTGAAGTTCACCCAGACATGGGAGGGACTGGGGTAGTTTCCAGGGGTGGATCAGCTCTAACTGTGGGTATTTCATAGAGAAAAAGAGGTGGACAGGCTTCCCGACCTATCAATACACAAACGTTGGGATAGGGTGAGAACCGGATTTGGAGGGAGGCACACGTTTAAAATAGACAATTCCCCTTTAAGGCTGTTTGCTCGCAGTTTGATTGACTGGACGGGCAGTGTTTGGCCTGAGGATGTTTCCCTGGGACCACCACCCCATCTCTTTCAATATAATTTGACCCACAGCAAAGAGAGCCTATGAGAATTTTAGCAAAGAGTCGGGCATGTTGACATTCTTGGAAGCTGGATGCTTTGGCCTCTTCCTCCTGACCTGACTTCTTTCATTCCTAGCTTGGGGGAGGCAGGAGCCGGGAGCCTGTCCCTCGTGGGTTTCAGGTACACGGTGAAGGAGAGTGGGGTGGGAAGCCAGAGGTATGAATGGTAGACGGCTAACAACTCGCTCTCCAGGAAGAGGAAGAGCCCTGATTTCTAGTGTTTGCCAATTACTGTGGTGTAAATACTCCCACTGTGGCTGAGTTGCACAAATCTGAGGTCACTGAGCTCAGAGTTGGGAAGAGACATGTGTCACCTGTGCTCCTGACCTGGCAGGAACAGGCTCCAGGCCCCAGAGCAGGAAGGGGTATCAGGAGGAAGCCACAGTGTGAAAGGCTGGGAGGCATCCGATGATTTTTCTGGGTTCAGGCCAAGAGAGCTCCCTAGCCCTGAACCCCCCAAGGAACACAGGGTGGTCACCAGAGCCCACAGAAATGTCTTACTCAACACAACACTTGGTCCTCTCTGTGGGCCTGAGTCCTGCTGGGCTCTGTGACATTAAACCCAGGAGAGGCTAGAATTCAGAGTGGGAGACACCGATAAGCAGAGGAGGGTGGCACATGTTGGGGTGCAGGATGGGGGGATCCAGGCAAAATTCACAAGGGAGGGTGCGGCAGAGGTGACATTGTGCTCCGGACTGGTGCCCTACGTGGGGACCAGAATGCTGTGTCAGTTATTCATTTTGTAGACGCTCCCACGCTCTGTGCAGGAGGCTGGGATCTTGGGTGTAAACGACTGAGTTCCCCCATCCACGGGGAAGGTGTGTCTGTGCACACAATTCAAAGGCAGAGTGATAAGAGGGTCTGGGAAGGGCTCAATGGTGGGCATGATGTTCTGAAGGAGGCTGGAAGGCCACAGAGGCTGGGGACACAAGGATACCTTTCTTGGGGTCTCCCAAGACTTTTCAAGGCGTTGGAAAGAGTCAGGGTAGATCTGTTCAGGCTGTTCCTGGGATAGCCTCTGGTTCTTCAGGTATCGATGTCAAAGGATCTACTTTCCAAAACTGGAAAGAGTGACAAGGGAAGTGGGAACAGAAGGAAGGGACCCCAGGCCCTCTGTCCACCCCTTTCCCACTCCCTGGAACTCTAGATCCCCCTTCCCTGGCCCCTCGCAGAGTGAAAATGATTAAAATGTTGAATCCCACTTAAAGACTGGGTGATTTTTTATTTATTTTTTAAAATATATTTTATTGATTTTTACAAAGAGAAAGATAGAGGGACAGAGCATCAATGACAGAGAAACATCAACCAGCTGCCTCCTGCATATCCTCTGCTGGGATGTGCCCACAACCAAGGTACATGCCCTTGACTGGAATCGAACCTGGGACCTTTCAGTCTGCAGACCAAACGCTCTATCCACTGAATCAAACCAGTTTCGACTGAGTGGTTTTTAAAATTTCCATGGAAGGGCAGGCCTAAATGGTAGAAACAGGGATTGCTCTGTCCATGCTCTCTTCCCCGACCTTCTGTCTCCGGGGGCAAGGGCCCATCCACATGCTTCCTTCATCTTTTCCTTGTCACTTCCTCAAGGCCACTGACTCCAGATGACCAGCCTCCACCTGCCAGGGTCTTGCGGGATCCCCCATGCATCCTGCCTCAGCAGCCCAGGAAATGAAGCCCTCCCCATCAACCTCTGTGGCTTCAACCTTTCTCCTTCCATCTCTTGCTCTTGGGTCACTTTCATGTCCCACCATTTCTCTCCAGTCTCTTCTTTTCTCCATCTCACTCCATCTGAACTGTCTCCCGGGCTCCCCAGTCTGTTTCTTTTTGCTGTATTTTTTGTCTTTCTCCTTCTTCCTCCTTCTTCTCCTTCCCTTTGCCTCTACCTTTCTGTTTCTCCACCTCTGTCACCCTTTCTGCTTCCGTCCCTCTCCAGTGTTAAGTCCCATGTGGGTTGAACACGGGATTGATGGGGATGAGACAGACTGCTTGTCACATGACCTTGGCTGATCCATTTTCCCCAGCCAGTTTCCCCACCTGGGGGCATTGAGAAGACCTACTTTGAAAGAATTCAATGAGATGATTATATTAAGTAGGTGGTCCCCGAAGACAGATCCTATACATGTTCCTTCATTTCTTTTTGTGGTTAAAATACACATCCCGTGAAACTTACCATTTTGAAGTGTGCCATTCAGGGGGTATTAAGTACATTCACAGAAGAAGCCAGACACAAAAGGCTACCTAGTGTAGGATTCCATTTCTATGAAATGTCCAGAACAGGCAAATCCATAGAAATGAAAAGCAGATTAGTGGTTGCCTGGGGCTTTGGGGGGGGGGGGGGGGAAAGACTGCTTAATGGGTATGAGGCTTCTATTTGGGTGACAAAAAAGGTCTGACATAAGATAGTGACCCAGCAATTCCATTCCTAATATATACCCCAAAGAACTGAAAACAGGTATGCAAACAAAAACGTGTACACACAAAATATCTGGAAACAACCCAACTGTCCGTCAACAATGGATGCACAAATGTGGTAGATCCAGACAATGGAATATGATTAAGTCTCTAAAAGAAATTCTGCCCTGGCCAGTGTTGCTGAGTGGTTAGAGTGTTGGTCTGTGCATCGATGGGCCTTGGGTTCGATTCCTGGTCCAGGACACATACCTGGGTTGCAGGTTTGGAAGGCAACCAACCCATGTGTCTCTCTCACAGTGATGTTTTTCTCTTTCCCTCTGTCCCTCCCCCCTCCCTTCCTCTCTTCCACTCTCTCTAAAAATCAATGGCAGGGTTGGGGGTGGGGGAGAAGAAATGAAGCTCTGACACCTGTTACAACATAGATGGACCTTGAAAACATCATGCTACATGCTTATCTTTCCTCCCTTTTTATTGAATTAATTAGGGTGACCCTGGTGAACAAAATGATACAGGTTTCAGGTGTGCAATTTTATAACTCATCAGCTGCAAACTGAATTGCGTGTTCACCACCCCAAGTCAAGTCTAAATGTTTATCTTAACCTGACTTTTTTTTTTAACTGAACTTGAACTTGCGCCATTCATGGCAGCTGCACCATTCATGGCAGCTCCATGCATAATGGCCTCAAACTGGCAAGTGGATAAACAAACTGAGGTGCGTCAAGGCAATGGAATATTCCTCACCAGTAAAAAGCAATGCACTGGCCAACAGAACAGCATGGTGAATAGAACAACAGTGAGGGAAAGACTCCAGGCTCAAAGCAGTCCCTACCGTGCGATCTCACATTCAGGAAACTCTAGAAAAGGGGGAGCTGCAGTGGCAGGGAGCAAACAGTGGTTGCTGGGAGCTGAGGGTCAGCAGGCATAAGTCACCACCTGAATCTTTGGGGGCTAGAAATGTCCTATAACTTGATTATGGTGGTGGTTCCATGACAACCTGCTGCTGCCCAAACTCAACAAGCAGTATGCTTCAAATGGGTGGATTTTGTTTTTATTTTATATAGATATAGATAGATAGATATAGATATAGATATAGATATAGATATAGATATAGATATAGATATAGATATAGATAGATGGAGATATAGATATAGATATAGATAGATGGAGATATAGATATAGATATAGATATAGATATAGATATAGATATAGATATAGATATAGATATAGATATAGATATAGATAGATAGAGATAGAGATAGAGATAGAGATAGAGATAGAGATAGAGACAGAAACAGAGACAGAGATAGAGATAG